TATATATGCTTCATATAATAAACTCTTCAAGTTTAATGTTAATTTATATAAATACTAATGTTGATTGTTATTTCCTATTAATACATTCACTAATATTCAGTTACACAACTTGAAATGTTGTATTAATTTAGAAATAAAAATTAACCTTGATTGATAAATACTGTTTTTACCTTTTCCTTCGATGCTTCTAATGACACCATAGTCCCTATAGTATGCTCATTTGATAATAAAATGGGAAGCTATAAACTCCAAAAAAATAATAATAATGATGAGATCACTGTAATTAGCCAATAGCTTATAACACTTCCACCATAGATGAGGATGCAAAAACAGAGAGGCAGGTCCAGCGACGGTTCCTCACAGCAGGGTTGACAACCTCCTCTGTTTGGTTTGGCTGACAGTAGCACCCCAATGAAAGAAAGCATTGAGGCAGACTGGTGGAGATATAGTCCTGTCTAATCGCTGGCTCCAAATTCATGAAGTGAACTACTTTATAGCTTGGGCAGTCCCACCTAGCCTGTAGGCCTTTGCATGAAGCAGACAGTTAAATTAACTACTCAGGTTTTAAGAAATTAAATAGAACATTTATGAGCAGTCTCTCATTCGTTATTTGAAGATGCTGCTTGCTGCATAGGACAAACAATTATTGCTGGAATCACTGAATTTACGGTAGTGTATGCTTTCCACTGAGTAAAAATGAAATGTTTACAGCACAGTGATTACTGAGGTTTAGTGTGCTTTAGTCAAGTCATTTAGCTCTGCCACATAGCTTCACCCAGCATGTTCAGTGACTGAACTGATTTAAATACTGATTTATTCTAAGGAATTCAAACACTGGACTTTTATATATAGTATTTAACCCCTTAAGCTCTGGTTTTTTTTTTTTTTTTTTTGTATTTTCGCCTAAATTTGACATACTTAAATTCAAATGTTTACCCTACACACATACAATGGAGGAAATGAAAAAAAAAAAAGGTGTCATCATTGAATAGAAAACCCTTTGAACTACAAAATATGATTGTAATTCTTCATAAATAACATTATATATGTTTTAAATATTACAA